ACAGCGGTTTGAAGAGTCTGTGGCAGACATTTGTGATCATCCTTTCACTCATGTGGTGGCCACGATGGAGCAGCTGCACTTGGAAGTCTCGGCTAGGACAGTTAGGCAATGACTCCGTGGAATTGGGATACACCACAGGATCTCTACTGTCATGGAAAGGTTCAAAGAACAACACTGGGTTGGGGGGGCTACAATTCTCTGGGCAGTATAGGGGAAGACCTGGACTTCTGGCCAACCACAGCAGTCTTCACTACTGGAGACCTGATAACACCTGTTATGACCGGCAGCAAGTTTATCAAGAAGCCAGGAGTGGCCACGGGACCGTAAACATGTGGAGCTGGATCAACCTCAACGGTGTGGGCCAGTTGGTGGAGATAATGTTTTTTTTTCCCTTTTGTTTGTGTTATAAATATATAGATTTTTTCTTCTTCCGAGATAACATGTTTTTTGCTATCCTCAGGTGAAACACCTTTATTTCACCAAATATTTGATACCCACTTCAACTTATAAGTGATATAACAGTTTACTTGAACCAATTTTACCAATTGGAACGTGGAGCAAACTGCCAAACAAAGCAACACTTAAACTGACTGTGTGTGTGCGTGCGTGCAATAATTAATAATAATAATAATAATTAACGGTTTATTGAAAAAGTTCTGTGTGTGTGTCCACACAATGTTTTCTGTTCTCTTTCAAATTACCACAGAACCCCATAATATGTAAAGTTAATATCTTAAATGAGACACTTGATTATACAGGTTGTACCTCTCTAGTCCGGCAACCTCGGGACCTGACTGGTGCCGGACCATGGAAATTCACCCTTTTCCTGGGCAGATAGTGACTTGCGCTTACGTTAGCACCACTTTCACTGCTTCGTGGTCTCTTTGAAGACATATTGAAGGGTTAAATGTAATACAGTAGCTTCTCAAATTTCGCGAGTTTTTAATTCAACGTTTTTTATTTGGACACAAAAAAAAACACTACATAATTTAAAATTTTGACGGCGGAAACTCGAATTTCGACGGGTTTGAACGGCCCGCCAACGTTCAGAAGACGTGCACAATCGTGTAAACAGCGTCATTTCTCTTATGTACAAAAGATTCATTATTGTTTATTACTGAATGTCTTTTTTATTGAATTAATGTTTATGTGTGCAAAATGGGAAATACAATTCATTAATAATTAATTCGTAGAATATTAAAACACACGAGGAAATGAGACAGCATTGTTTTCGTTGATTACAAAACCAGTGACTGATTGGTTCTACATATAAAACAAGAAAATAAGACCCTGGTTGTAGCTGTAGTAAAATGAATGTATAAAATTAATATGGTTGTTTTAAGTAATGTTATTTAATGTTAATAAATAGAACAATAAAAGTAGCAAACCATTTATGTTAAAGAAAAAAAGTTAGACTGCGCGTATGGAAGTGCTCACATGTGAAAAACATATCGTCATTACTCTACATAAGAATATAAAAGCAACACTTATTTACTGTTCACATATGTTTTAATTAAGGTTTCTGGTTTTTTTATTGAATTCATGTTTGTGCGCGCAAAATGAACAATACAATTCATTAATAATTATTAGAATATTAAAACACACGAGGAGACGAGACGGCTGCCAGCATTGTTTTCGTTAATGTTTACAAAACCAGTGACTGATTGGTTCTACATATAAAACAAGAAAATAAGACCCTGGTTGTAGCTGTAGTAAAATGAATGTAAAAATTAATATGGTTGTTTGAAGTAATGTTATTTAATGTTAATAAATGGAACAATATAAGTAGCTAACCATTCATGTTAAAGAAAAAAAGTGATACTGCGCGTATGTAAGTGAGCGCAAGTGAAAACATATCGTCACTACTCTACATAAGAATATGAAAGCAACACCTATTTACTGTTCATATATATTGAAGGGTTAAATGTTGTACTCTGTACTGTATAGACAAACAGAGAGAGCCGAACTGCCAGATGTAAACGAACCTTAATTTCCCGCGGCTTTGTTGTCGGTTTTTTTTTTACGGGGATTAGCTGCCTATCTACCTATTGGGCAAACTAAAATCATTCCGGACCATGGGAGTTTCCGGACCACAGAATGCCGGACTAGAGAGGTACAACCTGTACTAAAAATGGTAGTAAGTTTGTCAATGAAATGACACTGATGATCTGTAGGAATGAGAGGAAAAATTAACGAGCACCTCACTCCTGCCGCCCTGCTGTCTGGAACCATCACCAACCCTCTCTCCTGTCAAGAACCCTCTCTGTTATGACTTGAAATTAAGAATATGCAGCATTTTTTATACCTGTCCTCTTGACACTCACATAAGACAACTCGCATCATCGACACATGGTGTAGTTCAAAGAGGATGTGCACATAAACATGACATAGAATGGATTGTTCACATGATCAAGGTGTCTAGCAGACAGTGTAGTGCGGCGTATGTGTGGGGAGGCATTTCGTCTGAGCTCGCAAATACATTGGTTCTCGTCATTCAATTTAGGTCCAAATAATTATTAATGTATTCATTGGTTTGTTCCTGGCACTGCTGGCAACATAGTAATCTAGGCATGAAATGCACCCTTTAAACCACAGAGTGATGCTTAAACATGGGCCCGGTAGTTCCATCATGTGTGTTCGTGCAAGCGTGTCTCAGATGTTGCCACATAGCCAGGTTAGGCAAAACTGCCTGGCACAGTACTTTTGGCTGGGATTTTACACTACAGTATTCATAAATATTTTTAAAAAATCACTATATGGACTGTACACTAAATTTTGTATTATAAAATTAGTAAGTCATGTGTTTGACATAAGTGTAAACAGTAATGTAAATTCACCCTTCGAGCCTTTTTATTAAATCTCAATTTCTAAGAGATCCATCTAAGTCAGACACCTCATTAAAGTAACAATATTCAGCACTTTGCATCAAAGAGGAATCGTTAGAAGAAAAATCCCTTTATTACCTGACAATTTGAAATTGTACGCCATTCATCTAAAATGAAAACTTTCCTAATTTTTAAAATACAGAATTCAAAAACCATGAAATGCTTAAAGTTCTACAATTCATGCGACACAGATTTTTTATAAAATAGAGTAGCATGAGCCAATCTTCACTAACCTCCTCACATCATTGATAATTTAATTGTTACTTATGTTATACTGTATACACTCTGTATATTATTTAATTATATTCCTGAAAAAGGGGTTGGGCCTATATATTGATCAACTTTCACTTTTTGGAATATCATCAGTACTGAATCTAGTGGACTAGTGGCAGTACTGTCGCACAAATGTTCAGGGATCTAAATATATATATTATTTAATCTGCCCATGTTTGTTCAGTAGTCTCGGCACATATGGTTTATAATCATGAGCAACACTTTTGATGCAAAAGTTCTCAATTATTTTTTTTTAAATTGTTTCATTTTTAAGACTAAGCACTTCATCAATTTTCATATTCAGAATAATTTAGAAAGTCGTGTTTTACAAAATTTAGAGTGCATAGCAAGCTCCATAAGCAAGCCTTGTCATTTGCTTGGTTTTTATTGTTTCTTGTTTGACATCAAATGCACAATATCAAATTAAACTAAGAGCTTAAAATTTTGTTTATGGCAGAAACATTATACTGTAGATGTCAAAGCAGGTGATAAAATTTTAACTTCAATGGCAACACATGTTGCTGAGAGTGCCTTCCTCAATGAGGCAGACATATGATGCATAAGAGTACTCATCAGTACAATGTGTTGTGACATTATATTTTTCTAAGTAATATCCATTACTATGTATGATTTTTTTTAAATAAAATTCCGTTTGAAGGACATACACCACAAAAGAAAACATGTACAAATCCTGAGACACAGTGCTACTACTTTTTATGACTCGCCACTGAGCTAACATTATAATCCCCCGAGTGTTGGTTTTACAGAGTTAATTGGTTCCTGTCTTTTGGCATTCCAGGTTTACAAGTGTCCAGTAATTCAAAGTACTACTGTATATCGCTGTGCATGGTTATGGTCAGCATTAAACATAATAAGTATCTGTGTATGTGACATAATCAGTTCATTTCAATATGCAGTGAAACAAACATGATTAAAAAAAAAACAATTAAAATTAGCCTCCAAATAAACAAAGTATCATTTCAGAAAAAAGACTCCTTGAAATTAAACAAAAGCTTTGTTTTTAAACCTTCTTTACATTAACTTCATTACTTTTCAAACAAATATCATAAACTGTTTCTATGAAAACTACAATTTTTTAGTATTGGTGAAGATGACAATTACAATGTAATGATATATAATTCTGTATTGTATATATATATTTGTAATGATGCCTTGTGTCATTTATTTGTAGCATATCTATCACTAAGTTTTTTTATAATCTTACAGGAAAACTCCACAAAAAAAGATAGTTTCTTAAATGACTACCCACAGTTTTTTTAACTGAAAAGTGCAGCCACTTTCTTCAAAATCTAACTGTAAAGTTAATAACTGTCATCAGCATACCACACTGTGAGAACAACTGTGATGTCAGTGCAGGCACAAGCAGGGGTCATGATGTCTGGATACAAAAACTTTAAATGAGTAGATATTATAAATTTAAATCTCCAATTCTTTTGGATAACTGCAAAGAGATCACATAAATCAAGGACAGCCATTTACACATAAATACTGTATATTATTTTAACTAGTTCATAACAAAGAGCCTTTTGGCAAGTTATAAAAGTGTTGTGTCATAATGAAATGCCACATGGCAAGGTTACAAGTGTGTTGGTCATAACTAACTGTTACATGACCAAGTTATACAAGACCAGGTTACACTAGTACTGCATCATGTAATCATTTGGTCACATGCAGTGTCACATACACATGTAATTGTCTCATGGCAACATTATTGATTCTGCACAAACCAATTATTTTCTGATCATGTCACACTACACACAATAAATCCACAATCAGTTAGTTTCATTAGAACAAAAATGTACTATGAATAATAAAATTTACCTCTCCTCCATATCCCTGAAGAAAAGATGGGAAAGCAATTGTGAGATTAATAACATGTACAATAATCAAAGAAATATAAAGACACAAAAAGTTATTTTAAATACCCTATACTGTAAAGTGCTGTATACACTGTACTTGCAAATTACTATGAATACAGTATTTTATGTATACTGGAGAATAAATTATAACTAAGATACATTTATACTGGAGAATAAATTATAACTAAGATACATTTATTAATATTCTCCATGATCTACAATTAAAATGATGAACTACCAAGTAAGAGATGTTAAAATAAGTATGGCATTATCATATTAATACTGTGTATCATCCAGCAAGACTTTAACCATACAGGGAGTTCTGCTATAATGCGTGTTTTGACAACGCGAATTGGCTCTAACGCGATTCCACTAGAACGGTTGTTGTGGCTTGGCGCGGGGTTATGCAGTGTTTACAGTTCACGTTCGACATCACATGTTCAATTAATTTATGTGTTTTGCTTGTGAACAATTGCAGAAATAATTTACCATATATCTCGGCCTATAAGAAGGAATTTGAACCATAAAAAAATTAGCCCAAAGTTAGGGGGTCATCTTAGGCACCAGATATAAAATTATTACCTCTTAAATATTGAGGTTTAGCATGTCAAGAGTGGTGATGGAAACATCGTAAACCACTCAAGGTCCTACCACTAATTATTTTATACTGAAACTTACGTTTGGGAAGCTGGATTAAAATAAAGATTACCGGTATACAGTATTAAAATAATAAAAATGTACTATAAACCTGTCTAACATACCGTAAAAGAACAATATACCCCGGTAATAAACACAGCTGCTATCATCACTCCCCCCCCCCCCCATTTGCCAGTGACAAGAAAGGGAAAGTGACCTTGACTGTGACCGCCTGTGGCTATTTTTAGCCGTCCTTGTGTTTGGAGGTGGTCAGTAATGCATATCTGTATATTTACGGATGATAATACTTATCTCCTATAAATAATTAATTTAAAATTTATTTTTTTACAAAGAATATTCAGTAAATGACTGCGTTAATTCTTGAAACTACCGACAGTGGTAAATTTAGGATATAAATGATGAACAGAAGTCACGTCATGGATTCGGAGTTTGGTCCTTAATGATCACCATAAATGTCTGGTCAACTTCACCTACCAGGTTTAATGGTAGCCTCCCTTTTTCGCGAAACAAGTATATAAATTAAAGAAAATACTTGCAGTGTGTTTAATATATTACATTATATTATAAATAAATAAATAAACAAATAAATCGGCAGATCTATTTCAAGTAAATGGAAATATTTTACTCACACAGACATTAGTTCCAGTTAAATAACTGACGCTTAAGTGAGTCACTAGTGTACACCAGCCGGTAAAATTTGATGCCAATACTTTAAGTGAATTGGCCTTATTTTAAATAACCAACCATAAATAAATGCAAAAAGGAAAAAAGATCAAAGGTGAGAAAAATTATATTGTATGTATGTTGTGTTGTCAAAGGAAGAGAAACAATTGAAACTGCAATTGTGTGTAAATGAGGCAGAAAGATAGATCAGCAACCTAAGACTTGGTCACAATTTTCGTGATGCCATATGGAAGTAGGATCTACCATTAGACAATACTGTACATTAGGGGGCAGGGAAAAAACACTTTTATTTGAGTTGCAGGCTGCACTTTTCAGGCATCGTTTGTATGGCTGTAACAAACACCTGTGCAAAATTTCATGCCATTTCATGCACTTACCCTGCCGCATTGCGAACGATTTTTTGTCAACTTTTAGTGTATACCAAAAATTAGGTGTCATTTAATGTTTTCCAGGATAATGATAAATTTTACATGGGTGACATCGATTTAATTCACATGTTATTTTACAGGTACACCGTATAGAAAATCATTACAAGTTCATATTGAAATTCTTTTTTGTGGAACCTTGGCATCATTTTCCTAGACAATAATCTTTGCCTAATATATCCATCTCTCGATTCGTATCCCGTCACTTCAGTGCAAGCTTCAGTCATCACTTTTATGCCTCTCTCGACCGCCTGAGTGCTGTTTGGCCACTTGGGCACCACTAATGGTGTCTCAAGAATGTCATTAACCTGTAGATTTGACAGAGAAGCAATGTAAGGAGGCTCAGTCTTGAGTTCATTCCTCCAGTTAATCATGGAATGATAGTTTTTTGCTTGCCACTTTAGTTTCGGAGTCACCACCTTTCTCATGTTGACTACAGGAGGCACATCCTCATTCCCATCTCCATCTTTACCCTCCTCATCAGTATAGTTTAACAAATTCTCGTCAACAGCAGCATCAGAATCTTCCTCCTCCTCTTCAGATCTGCCAGTGCATTCTTCCTTTTGCTGATTCTCCTCTCTAATTTTTCTTATCATTGAGACAGCTTTTTCTCTAACAGTCATGTCCTCATCTGCACACATACCAAGAAGAAGTTGATCTGTGTGGGCGAAGTATGCATTTCTCTGGTCAGCCTTCTTCACTATCGTCTCCTCCTCACTATTCAGGTGTTTCATATATAGCAGGGACTGGAATACGTTCCTTGAGCCGTGTGTTACGTAAGGGTGTATCTTGATGTAAAACCACATTGGAGCACTGAACTTTATTATTGTAATGACAATTCTTTTCAACTTATGGCTGGGTCTTGATGTTGCTACATACAGCCTGAGGATTCTACTCCATAAGGTGTTCCACCTTGACACACAGGGAGGACCTGGCTCAATAGCAGCCAAGTCATCTTCAACAACACCTGTGATAACTCCTTTACAAATCCTATACAGGTATTTCTGATCCCAGGACAGATCTTTCTCCACTTCATCATTAAACACAGGGAAATCAGGGAAACTGACTGGCTGGAAGGCGACAACTGGAAGCTCAGACAAAGACTCCTTGATCTGCTTTCCAATGGGACCACGCCAATGCTCAGGACCACTTGGTTTACCATCATAGTGATAAAAAACTGCGCGGAAAGGCAGCTCATTTCCGTGAGGCTGACATATGAAATAATGGAGCGGGTGACCAAGTAACATTTCAAGATGCTGAATGACTCCATTTTCTGATCCTACATTTACATTGGTTCCATCACAACCAACACACACAATGGGCTGCTGGGTTAGATTTTTCTCCACCAGAAACTCGTGAATAGTTTTGGCAATCTGCTTTCCGTGTCCAGTCTTGGGAGTCACATGTGTGAGATATTCATTGCCAGGCTCAACCATGATGACATAATGATCTTTCACCATCATCCTCGAACTCCATTTCTCGGTCTTCTCATTCTTTATCATCACACGAGTGGCGGTCTTCTTACCATCAAAATAGAGTGACGTCAAATTATCTAAACTAGCCATCTCAATTTCTTGCCTCTTAAATCGGTATTTTTGTCTCGCATCCCGCAGCTTATGTGGTCCAATAACCTGACTCTTGTCATCCTTTGTGATAATGCCATAGTCAGCTAAGGTGGCAGTAGCAATGGCAGCTACTTACCCAGGTCTCCCCTACATTACAGTACAGTAACACAACATTGAGAAATGAAATAAGAAAAGGCTGATAATCAATATAGACATAGCACCATACTCATCTGCAACAAGACAACTTAAATGAAATAAGAGATAAGAAAAAAAAGTTGATAAACACTGAACAGAACATTGCACCGCCACAGCGGCTGTTTGGCTAGTACTGTAGGTAAATTTAAAAATTTCAGTAGAAAATGCGGCAGACTAAACCTCGACATATCAGCTTCAAATTTGGCATGGAGTCTTAGATATGTATAAGAAACAATGCCTGAAGAGTGCAGCTTTGAGCAAAATTTCACTGCCCCCTACTGTACATTATGCTTCCAATATCTTCCCAGGCGGTAGTATCTCCCTGTTTGGTAGCTGCCTACTACCTATACACAAATTTTAGTAATATTACTTTGATACAACATGATAAATTAGACAAACAATGAAAATAAACAAACAAAAGTTATTTACCAAGACCTTCTCTCTAAGAACAGAGGGTAATAGATGGAGAGGAGATAAGAAGGCTATTTATAGCCCGTCTTTGTGTAGGAAGTCCACCACACTATAAATAATTCATTTAAAATTTATATTTTTTACATAGAATGTTCAGTACATAACTGCGATTCTAAAATAGGCCGAGATATACGGTATGTAGTGAGTGTGTGTGTGTGTGTGTGTGTGTGTGTGTGTGTGTGTGTGTGTGTGTGTGTGTGTGTGTGTGTGAAATTCGTGGTTTACAGTGAGTGATACGAATGTCGTAACATCACTAGGCTGAAGGCGCCTGAATACTACTTAAACACATTAAATTATGTTAATTGATCACTGTATAATAAATTCATTCACTCATAATTTCAAATTCCCTTATCATCCTGTGTTATATACAGAAATACTTGAGTCCCTGAGCGAGTACACAAAAATAAAACGGAGGACTAAGACATCTTGAAGTGGATAGAGAACGGACATCTCTACTGGGGGACTCAAACGTTTCTCATGTTTTGTGGGCGCTGTAGCATAATATGAATAATATGTAAATTACAATTTACATATATATATACTGTATGTAAATTGTAAAAATTTAAATAAAAGAGAAAACTAAGTACGTAGCGTTTGAAGTGTACTGTATAGTGTTGTGGCTTGGCGCGGGGTTATGCAGTGTTTACAGTTCACGTTCGACATCACATGTTCAATTGATTTATGTGTTTTGTTTGTGAACAATTGCAGAAATAGTTTATGTAATATTTATGTATACAGTATACCTGTACATATGTAAATTGTAAAATTTTAAATAAGAGAGAAAAACAAAATACATAGCGTTTTAGACCCGCGCACTCTGTTTACTCCACACATTGAGTTTGAAACACGTGTGAAGTTTTTAAGCATCCTCAGTGAATTCTGATTACTGTTTCCCCAATTTTGTGACTATGGAAAAGAAGAATATCTCTGGGAAGCATTCTGGTGATCGCATTTCCGGTGTTGATCGTAAAAGAAAGGCTATAACACTTGAAGAAAAGCTTGATGTTTCATGACTCCTCAACATCAATCTTCTCCCCCATCAAGTTATATTCATATTTTTTCAAGGTAAAGTGTAACATTTGCTGTATGATTTCATTATTAGATATGAATGTAACATTTATTTAGACTGTGCTGTCCTTTGTGTTAGGCTAACTACGATTTTGTTTTCGATTTGGAGTAATCTGCACCTAACCCTATTTTCTCCACAAGCCCTGTTATTTCTATTACGCGAATTTCTATAACACGATGTTTTGCAAGAACACAACTATCGCGTTATAGCATAACTACCTGTACTGTAATAATATTAAATCTAAATCTGACATAGAAGTCACTTAAAATAGTTCATAAATGATCTCGACTACTAAATATATCTTTATCATGAATTTACTATATCAAAGGAAAAATGAGTAAGTTAGCCACTATACAGAGTTTTGAGAGATGACTTCTTCCTTTGAGTTTATATTTATTATGGTTTTACAACATGAATAAGTTTGAATAATAAGTAAACAATTAATGTATTTGTTATCCCAAGTGACTAGTACTGATGTAACCTAATTATCCCCACCCCCCCGGACTCTTTATAATTAACATTCCAAATTTATTTTTCCATAAAGCAATTTGCACTTAAAAAAATAACTTAAAGAATACACAGCTAAAATTTATAACATCTTTATTGGTAGTCAAACAAACTAAAAAATAAAAGATATACATCAAGAAATAAACTGACTAACCTGTTGTTTACGGACATTGATTTTGTTGTTGCGGGCTACCTGCTGCCTTTCTTCTTGTTGCTGCTGCTGCTTCTGTTGGTTGAGGGCTGCTACTCTACTGGCACTCAACCTGTCAGCAAGTTGTTCATTTTCTTGCTCAACAATCTGGTCATCAAATGAAAGCAATGAAAAATAAATTGGTCAATATTTCATGCATCAACAACATTGCCTCAAGATTACCTCAAGTTACGTATATATAACTAAAACTAAGCATTCTAAGTGATTTGACAATTCTAATTTAACATGGTGATGGAAACTTTCAAAGGCTTGCTAACTTAATCCTTAAAATATCTATTCAAGATACAGACACTCCCCAAGTTACGGTTGGGTTCCGTAACAAGTGACCCTTCCGTAGGCAATTATTGAACACATAGTACAGTACAGTACAGTACACAAAGTATATAAAAATACTATACAGGTATGGGACCATTTATCTGTCATTCTTGGGACCTGGGAGGTGCTGGATAAGTATTTTTCTATTGGAGCACCTGGCCTAAAATGAACACAATGTACAGAAATTCATCTGTAACTGGCTGTGAAGACTCTGTTCCAGATTCACTCCTAAAACTAACTTTAACTGAATACTTTAACATTAAAGCATAAATTTTAGGTATATAAACATCAATAACAAAAGCATATAAATCGCATTAATGAAAGCAAAAAAGAGAGCAAAAAGGATACACGTTAGTGTTCAAACTGAATCATAATTCCCTTGTGGGGGGACAAGGATTGCTTGTCCTTTCCCCCGTACTGTTGCCCCCTTCACCAGTCTTTTATTTATTCATTCTTATATTTCCATATGATCAGCCAATTATGGTGTATGTTTCATCATAAATCATATAACATACAGTATTAAATAATAGATCAAAATACAAAATACAATACAGTACAATACAGTTGTAGTTAATGTACTTTCATTATCACCTTTCTGTGCATATAGTTTAAAGATGTTTACTACTTAATATATTGTACCAATTTCGAGTGTATTATGAATATTCCCATTCTCTGTTTATCTCCCTGGTATTTTCATGCTGTGGAACACTTTAATAACCCCTAGACAAGTATGTCCTATAACAATAAATACATACATTACATACATACATACATACTGTATATACACACACACATACATACATACATACATGCTGTATATACATACATACATAATCTAGAGAAGTAATATATAAACAACATTACCTTATAAGCTTTGGTGAATCTCACAAAGATAGCAAAAAATGTGTTTGGTGCCATACTTCTGGAACTCTCCCCATAATATTCCAACACTTCGGCAAATGTGGTTTGAGCTGTCTTAGATTCTGCTCGTAGCTGTGAATAAAATAAATCTTTTAACTACAGTATAAGCAGTTATTAAGCTATTATGCATAGAAAAACAAAAAATGTTACAACTAAGATACTAAACTGTTACAGTATATAGCTAAAATATTGCTCTCCATACAACATTTCCTGTCTAACAAGTTTAATATTAAAAGCAAATCTACATAGATGTATACTGTACTTTTAACCGAGATATCACAAAAAATGGTCTTTAGTATCTGTGCCCATATTAATAAGAATGTTACTCAAAAGTATACAAAAATTTACATGGCGTTGAGAGATATGAAGGAGTAAACAAATACTGTATATACTTATGACATCGCTTAGAAGTATTAATTGACAAAAATCTTCTTTCTTATAAATATTTATTATGTCTATAAAAAAAATTCTTAATTTCTCATAGTTTTAATAATTTGTCAATCTTAGAGAAATGTTAGATAAGCTGAACTAAACAATGGCAGATATGTTTCTTTGTTAAGATGATGCCACTACTTAATACTAAAAGGATTATTAATCTTATACACAGTGCTATTGTTGATGGTTTCATTTTGCTAACTGTGATGTTCCACCTGGTTTTACCAAGAAAAGAAATCAATTTCAACCTAAATTACCTTTATATACTTTTCTTGACATAACTCGGAAAGATTCACAATGAAAATCAAAACCAAGTTTTGTTTGAAGTTTGTCTTTTAATGTGGATGAGATTACTCGTTATTTTGTTTACTGATCCATTCACAGATATATTTTATTTGTCTTATCATTTCAATTACATTATCAAGTTTCTATCCCCTTGAAAGGGATAACATACCATACATGCCTTATCTAAACCCACTATAAATCTCTGGTTGCTTACACTTTCAGTAGGCACTTTACCAATTCACTCCTCAGATATGAAACATACAGTCGAACAGTAACTCAATACATCAGACATAAATACACTTGGAATTCACTTTTTCTTGGAAAATCCATTATCAGTCTGGAAAGTTTGTGTGTTCATATGTGGGGATGAGTGCATGTTGCATGCCTCACAGAGCTACTGTACTACCGTAAGTATGAGACAAGACACAGGCTGGGGATGGTGGGAACCAGGCATTGCCACATTTGCCAGGTTGATTTATTAATTAAATATTATATTCCCATATGGTCAGCCTCTTATGGTGTATGATTCCTCGTAATTAATATAACATCTTCAATAATAGAACGTTCAAGATACAAAAACTCATTTAAAAATGGCAAAAATTCAAATCGCGCGCCCCCAGGAGGCAGTTGGGGCACCCACATCCCCCTAGCCCTCTCCTTGTGAGCTGTGTTATGGTTATTTTTCACCTCGTAATTTTGGGTAGTATACAAAACTTTTTCATATTTTTTTACTCAGTTACATGCACACACAATCCTAGATACAGAATGTGCAAAATAAAATATACAATAAATCAGTATCATAAGGTCAAAAATATAAAGGGAATAAACATTTCTTCGTCTGCCAATGAGAGCTAACGGGCTGAGTGAGGGAGTGATGTTATGGTTATTTTTCATCTTGTAATTTTGGGTAGATATACTTAACTTTCTTTTACTCAGTAACAAGCACACGCAATCCTACATAATGTGCAAAAAATTTAAAAGAAATAACACTCAAATGATCAAAAACAAAAATGGTAAAAACATTTCTTTCAGAGTGAGAGCTGGAGGAGTACATGGAGTGTCGTTCGGCAGAGCATCCCTTAGATGTAACTAGATAGGTATGTGTTACACCCCATTTACCCATGGTGTCGACACAATACTCCCTCATATCAATCCTGATGCCTTTCTGCAAAACTCACTGGGTTACACCAACCCAAACTGTAACTATTACTTTCCTGCCTCTCCCGAGTTTAGTTCTAGTCTCCTACCTACCTCATTCCTTCTCCTTGATTAGCCATAACATCAGCAGTATTCCCCTTCATCTAGATACCTTTTAAGATCAGTGTTTATCTTCTATTGCCCACAAATTTGATGTACTTGGGTTCTGTGAGACCAAACTCACTAACGATATTGACCATTTGTATAACAGTCCTAATTATAAGACACTGCGTCAACACGTCACAACACAGTGGTGGTGTAAGCCTATATGTTGATATCAAGTATAACACTTTTGTAAGAAATGATTTAAAGGTTCAGGAGGAGTACATGGAAGATGTTTTGGATTTGAATGCGTAGCGACACGAAATATCCTAGTAGGAGTAACCTACAGAAGACCCCACACTAATGTAAGGAATTTTCATGATAAATATTTCCTTCTTCCATTAAACATTTTCAGAATGCTCTAGGACAGTGGTTCCCAAACTTTTTAACATGATACCCCCTTTTGATAAGTCCTCACCCCCCCTTATAGTTTTGTATGTAAAATCTACATAGATTTTATTTTTTATTATAATTATACTTTAGTACTGTTGAGGATCAGATAACTCCTTGTGAAAGATACAAGTAGTGTGAGAGTCAGTATGGTATCCATGCCACGTACATGACGCGTAAGGAGAGAGAGATTAAATGATAGAAAACGGATAAGGGTGACTGCTATATTTTGGTTTTGCAGGGATGTGTGGAAGATTCAAATGGAGAGAGTTACTCCTGAAAGAGTTTCTTCATTATATTCTTTTGAGCAAAAAATAGCAAATTTTGGCAGATGGCTTCATGCCTCCCCTGTACCCACTTCATGCCCACCCAGTTTGGGAACCACTGCTCTAAGATGATAAGATGACAAAACTTGACTACAGTAGAACATCGATTTAAAGCGATTCAATTTAAGATTATTGATTTAAAGCAACACCTACAATTAAGGACAATGTTTTAATTTAAAACAAATCTTTCCTATTTTGCTGAGTCAATTTGGCACATCATATTTTAAAATTTAGCCTAATGTTTCTCTGGGCACGCTACACTGTCCTAAGAGCAAAGCTGTACTGTACAAGTACTCAAAATAATGTACTAAATGATTACTAAAATTTTTGTCTAGTGCAAACTATAGCATGTTTATATTCTAATTAATCACTATCTTATAAGAATTCTAGCAATGTAAATTATACTTTCCCCTGTCACTTCTGTGACATTTTATAAACAAAAAACAATAACTCAATCTAAAGGACATAAATAAACAAATAAATACTTCACTAGACCTTTAGCGCCAACTATCAAACATGTCACCTCCCTCCCTCCCTCCCTCCCTCCCTCCCCCATCTTCCCAGCCAGGGTTTGGTGGTTATAGGCTTACAGTTTTTATCTTATATAATATCGCAGACTAAAGTTAGGAGAATATAATTTGCATTGCTAGAATCCTTGCAAGACAGCGAATAATTTGAAAATAAACGTCATATATTTTGCACAAGAGATACAAATTTTAGCCCTTTGTAATAAAATTAATTAGAACATGTCAGTTCAGTGACATTTTACAAGAGCAAAACTTAAAGTCACTCTTAAGGACAGATAAATAAATAAGCACTAGACCTTGGCATCAACTGTCAAACATATTGCCTCACCTTCCCCCATCTTTCCATCAACTGATTGCCAGTAAACAGACCATTTCAAGTCCCATAATTTTAGCTGTGTTGATTTATGAGTGTTTGTTTTAAAATACTACTACAAAAAACAATGTTTTGTTTATTTTAGGAGATGGGCTGAGGTGCATCTGGGTAGACTCTCAGTCCTTTTAGTATTTTGTGCACCGAAGTACCAAACGAAATTAGTGCGAATTCGGTTTAAAGCGACCTCTCTAGGAACGTAACTCATGTTCTATCGACGTTCAACTGTATTTTTTAGAACTACCCATCTGTGGCACAATAAAATCTCCCCCATAAGATAATCATTAATCTAGCAACAAAATTTAAGATACTAAATAATATCATTTACAACCTTTCTGGGTACTCTTTCCTTAACCTCTTTAAGTGGTAAAAAACCAGAATATCTGCCAAATCTAACCTTCCTGAGCTTATCCTCAGAGTTACAAAGGAATTCCTTTAGCACTGCTACAGCTGCATGCCCTTCTGCACTTCGCATATCCCGATAACGATCATGTTCCTTCTTAGCTTTTCATCCCTTTTTCTAACTCGCTTACATCTGTCAGGATATTCTCTAGTGACACTGAAATGAAGACAAATCAAATAATGTAAAATTTTTGTCAAAATGAGACTTTCCCAAAATTTTATGATGGTAATCCATTTTAATTTCATCTAATTCTACCTTTTTTGTCTATATATGAGTATAATACGATAAAAACATTTAATACATTAAAATGACATCAAAGTAAACATGGAGGCTGCAAGGGTCAAAAAAAGGGAACCATATTTACCCAAATTATCTAATATCTGCACCTACTGATCCAAGGTAAACATCTAATCTTCTTGGCTCCCAAGTACTGTACCACACAATCCAGTGCATAGTAAAATCATTCAGATATATAGTGATGAACACCTTTGCAGGTACAGTATACCTGTAAACCCAACATCCTCTGATACAATAGTAGGTACAGTTATACTGTAGCTTCATAATAATAATAATAATAATAAAAAGATAAGCATCTATTCAATAGAAACTACCACAGTGATACCTTTAATACTGTGCATGCTAAGAAACATTTTAAAGGCTTTACAAGATGATACACAATGACTCGCTCACCCTGGGCAGCCTTTTCAATAAACCTAAGCTCCGAGTCGACATTGTTGAGATCAGGAAACTTTAATGCGTATGGTGTCTTGGATGTAGTGTAACAAGCTCATCTTCTTGTCAGCTGATTTAGTATCACATAAAGTATCTAAACTTGAAAGTTTGAAGCCATATGCTGGCCCACGTTTGCTGCTGTTCATATAGTTACCTGTGAAAAAATAGTACAGTATTTCATCAACTGTATTATTATAGATGTGGATGTGGACAGAAAAGTTTTGACACTACAAATATTACATGCCATATCACCCAGCGAGGGGCATGGGGCTTGAAATGCCCTACGCTGCGCATTCACTTGCTTACTCATTTAACCATTTGCTTACTAATTTTCTCACTAACTCATCAAATTCAGAACATACTTCTATTTCTCACTTAAGTTTATATTAGTTTGTACACTCAACAAAAAATTCTCAAACACCTGCGCATGACGGATGTGAGAATGAGTAAAATGGGGCTTGTCATCATGGAATGGTTTCAGATTCTTCGTTCAATTTTCAGACCGCATAGTGCTTATAGCGTTCGAGATGTTTCTGGTGAGTGTACAATACAGTACAAAAATACTTACCGAAAGCAAGAATAACTTCAAGTATTCTTCTTAATTTAGTACTGTTTTTGACAGAACGGGATGCTGTGATGATTGCATGGACTTGCTGTAACAAAATGTGAAAACACGGTTTCATTAGTCGTTTCATGCCAATAGCTCTCTAGTAGTAATTAAACTTTATTATCCAGTTATTTTATTACATCCAGTATAAAGAAATTGGTATAATGGTTTCTTTTGACCCTAGGCTTAGGTACCTGTACAGTAATTCAATTTGGATGAATCCTTTACAGACGCATATCTGAGGTAGAATTTACAGAATTATGATAAACTAGAAATCATGTCCAAAAGAAATAGTTGCCTTTCTATTCACACTGACAACCCATAAAACTGAGTTTAACTCATGGGTAAATTAAAACAAAACCAAGGACGAAAATTGCAAAAAAGTATGACACACTGATCAACTTTTAGGTATGATGCTCAAGTCCAACAAACACTAAACAAGATTTCCGATATATCATTTCTATTTTCCTTGAATGGCGTGTATCCAGAATAGGACATACATCTGGTATACTGTATTTCATAAACTTTTTTCCATGTATTGGACAGAGATAAAATTTATTGAGTCCAGAAAACCTTAAAAAATTTAATTTAAACTTTACATACTTTGTACTCTACAGGTACCAAGTTTTGTTTTATATAAATTTAATTTATACTTATTCATGTAATTGTAAGAAATAATGGAACAAAAAACAAATTCCAGATCTGTAACAACATGAAACAAAACAAAAAAGTCTTAACTCAAGACATAATAACATACAACCCCCTCTACTGAAGCTACCCAAAATATTATACTACTGCATCCGCAACAAAATGTTGTAGCGCTAACAGGTGCTAATCTGTAGCAGACTTTTAATAGTCTCAGGTCCTACAGACAATCCTTTCACACTAATGAGTCAAGAATGGTAAACTGCAGCAAGTGATGAAATTACTGTGAATAAATTAAGGATGGGAGGAAAAAAGGCAATATGTGACCAGGGTGTGGAGGATAAAGAGGGAAGGTACAGTAATAGAATATTATTATAAACAAAATTACTGTTTGACAATAACTTAGGTCAACTCACCGGTGTGACAGTGTGCACACTGTCAAAAAAGTTTGCAATAAAACTCATTATTTGAAGTTTGGTTGAAAGTCTGTCAATTTTACTAAGATGCAGCATGTATTGATCTTCCTCAGTAAGCTGATTTATAGGCTTACGTTCTCTTTCATATTCTCGATAAGCTTTGATCTGGTGGGAGATAAAACACAAAATAGTATGATATTTTTTCATATACAGTATTAGCTTTTCATTTAATAAATTTTTCCACATATATTGATTAAATCTCACAAACAGGAGCTTGTGTGTATTCTGTGTGTACAGTATGTTCTTGTACATTCAGTTCACCTAAGTGCAAGCTTGTTTTGTGATGAAGTAACTCTCTGTGTGTGGGCATTTCATGCGTGTACAGTATCTTTTAAGTGTTTCTGGCCATTTCTAAACAAAAGTACCAGAAGTAAAAATTTGTCTTATCTGTCACAGAAATTAACAAAATTAATTATCTTACACTGCTTTAATAATAAATTCATAGTTATTAGAATTCACCTTTAATTACTGCCTTTATTAATGTACAGTATCCTGATATAAAGGATACTGTCTATAATGAAAGGGCAGACCTAGGAGATCTAAGACCCCCTTTGCATCAAAAAAGTTCAATGCAATATTCTAATGCAGTATTACATTCAGACAATTTTGTGTAGCAAAAAGTAATTATCATTGACCACAGAATATTTCTTAATATCAAGTGCACATGGCTAAAATGCCAAATATTGGTCAGATTTCAACATTTTTCTGGGTGTGGCTTACCTTTCAAGAACATGTTCCCCATCCATAATTCTTGGACCACCCCAGGCATCTTACATTCCTGGCTCCGCCCCTGTAACAGACCCCGGCTTTAAGGGACACTGACCCATTCAGACCAGCTTCATATATTGAGTGCTGGTGGTGGTGAGTAGTGATAGTTAGTATTGGTGGTGATGGTGAGTAGTGGTTAGTATTGGTGGTGATGGTGAGTAATGGTGGTGAGTATTGGTAGTGGGTGTTAGTAGTGGTGGTGAGTGTTGTTAGTGGTGGTGAGTGTTGGTAGTGGTGGTGAGTGTTGGTGGTGAGTGTTGGTGGTGAGTGTTGGTAGTGGTGGTGAGTGCTGGTAGTGGAGTGTTGGTGGTGATGTGGTGGGAGTTATGGTGGTGGTGGTGAGTGTTGGTGGTGGTGGGTGGTGGTGGTGGTGGTGGTGGTGGTGGTGGTGAGTGGTGGTGAGTGGAGGTGGTGGTAGTGGTGAGTGTTCATGGTGGGGTGGTGAGTATTGGCTGGTGAGTGTTGGTGGTGAGTGTTGGTAGTGTTGGTGGTGAGTGGTGGTGGTGGTGGTGGTGGTGGTGGTGGGGTGGTGGTGGTGAGTGTTGGTGGTGGGTGAGGTGGTGGTGGTGGTGGTGGTGGTGGTGGTGGTGAGTGTTGGTGGTGGTGAGTGTTGGTGGTGGTGAGTGTTGGTGGTGGTGAGTGTTGGTGGTGGTGGTGGTGGTGGTGGTGGTGTTGGTGGTGGTGAGTGTTGGTGGTGGTGAGTGTTGGTGGTGGTGGTGAGTGTTGGTGGTGGTGAGTGTTGGTAGTTGAGGTGTTGGTGGTGGTGGTGTTGGTAGTGAGGTGTTGGTGGTGGTGTTGATGGTGAGTGTTGGTGGGTGGTGGTGAGTGTTGGTGGTGGTGGTGGTGAGTGTTGGTGGTGGTGGTGAGTGTTGAGGTGGTGGTGGTGGAGTGTTGGTGGTGGTGGTGGAGTGATGGGTGGTGGTGGTGGAGTGTTGGTGGTGGTGGTGAGTGTTGGTGGTGGAGTGTTGGTGGTGGTGGTGAGTGTTGGTGGGTGGTGGTGGAGTGTTGGTGGTGGTGAGGTGTTGGTGGTGGTGGTGAGTGTTGGTGTTGGTGGTGGTGAGTGTGTTGAGGTGTTGGTGGTGGTGAGTGTTGGTGGTGGTGGTGGTGTTGGTGGTGGTGGTGAGTGTTGGTGGTGAGTGTTGGTGGTGGTGTGGTGGTGTTGGTGAGTGTTGGTGGTGGTGTGAGTGTTGGTGGTGGTGGTGAGTGTTGGTGGTGGTGGTGAGTGTGGTGGTGGTGTTGGTGGTGGTGGTGAGGTGTTGGTGGGGTGGTGGTGGGTGTTGGTGGTGGTGGTGAGGTGTTGGTGTGGTGGTGTGAGGTGTTGGGGTGGTGGTGGGTGAGGTGTTGGTGGTGGTGGTGAGTGTTGGTGGTGGTGAGTGTTGGTGGTGGTGGAGTGTTGGTGGTGGTGAGTGTTGGTGGTGAGGTGTTAGTGGTGATGCTGTGTGGTGGTGGTGGTGAGTGGTGGTGATGGTGTTGGTGGTGATGGTGAGTGTTGGTGGGAGTGGTGGTGAGTGTTGGTGGTGGTGGTGGTGTTGGTAGTGGTGGTGGTGTGGTAGTGGTGGTGAGTGTTGGTAGTGGTGGTGAGTGTTGGTAGTGGTGGTGGAGTGTTGGTGAGTGGTGGTGAGTGTTGGTAGTGGTGGTGAGGTGTTGGTAGTGGTGGTGAGTGTTGGTGGTGGTGTGGGTGGTGGTGGTGGAGTGTTGGTGGTGGTGTGGGTGGTGGTGGTGATGTTGGTGGTGATTATTAGTGGTGATGATGGTGAGTGTTGGTGGCAATGGTGAGTGTTGGTGGCAATGGTGAGTGTTGGTTGGTGCAGTGTTGGTGGTGGTGGCGAGGTGTTGGTGGTGAGTGTTGGTAGTGATGGTGAGTGTTGGTGGTGATTATTAGTGGTGATGGTGGTGTTGTGGTGGTGGTGAGTGTTGGTAGTGGTGGTGAGTGTTGTGGTGGTGAGTGTTGGTAGTGGTGGTGAGTGTTGGTAGTGAGTGTTAGTGGTGATGGTGAGTGTTGGTGGTGGTGGTGAGTGTTGGTAGTGGTGGTGAGTGTTGGTGGTGGTGGTGAGGTGTTGGTGGTGGTGGTGAGTGTTGGTAGTGATGGTAGTGATGGTGAGTGTTGGTGGTGATTATGGTGGTGATGGTGGTGTTGGTAGTGGTGGTGAGTGTTGGTAGTGAGTGTTGGTGGTGTTGGTAGGGAGTGTTGGTGGTGATGTTGTGAGTGGAGTGTTGGTGGTGAGTGTTGGTAGTGGGGTGATAGTGGTAGTGAGTGTTGGTGGCGAGTGTTGGTGGTGAGTGTTGGTAGTGATGGTGAGTGTTGGTGGTGAGTGTTGGTGGTGATTATTAGTGGTGATGGTGAGTGTTGGTGGCAATGGCGGTGTTGGTGGTGGCGATGGTGTTGGTGGTGGCGATGTGGTGTTGGTGGTGGCGATGAGTGTTGGTGATGGCGATGTGAGGTGTGGTGGTGTGAGGTGTTGGTGGTGGTGGCGAGTGTTGGTGGTGGTGGTGGCAGTGTTGGTGGTGGTGGTGAGTGTTGGTGGTGGTGGTGTGAGAGTGGTGGTGGTGGAGTGTTGGTGGTGGTGGTGGCAGTGTTGGTGGTGGTGGTGGCCAGTGTTGGTGGTGGTGGTGGGGTGTGTTGGTGGTGGTGGGGGTGTTGGTTGTGGTGGTGGCTGAGTGTTGGTGGTGGTGGTGGTGTGAGTGTTGGTGGTGGTGGTGTGAGTGTTGGTGGTGGTGGTGGGGTGTTGGTGGTGGTGGTGAGTGTTGGTGGTGAGTGGTGGTGGTGGTGTGGTGGTGGTGGTGAGTGTTGGTGGTGGTGGTGTGAGGTGTTGGTGGTGGTGGTGGGGAGGTGTTGGTGGTGGTGGTGTGAGTGTTGGTGGTGGTGGTGTGAGTGTTGGTGGTGGTGGTGTGGTGTTGGTGGTGGTGATGTGTTGGTGGTGGTGGTGAGTGTTGGTGGTGGTGGGGAGTGTTGGTGGTGGTGGCGAGTGTTGGTGGTGGTGGCGAGTGTTGGTGGTGGTGTGAGGTGTTGGTGGTGGTGGTGAGTGTTGGTGGTGATGGTGAGTGTTGGTGGTGAGTGTTGGTGGTGGTGTTGGTGAGTGTTGGTGGATGGTGGTGATGGAGAGTATGTGGTGGTGGTGATGGTGAGTGGTGGGCTGTGATGGTGGTTTTGAGTGGTGATGGTGAGTGTTGTAACAATGTCAGTGATTATTTCCCTGGCGTGAGTCAGTGCAGTGACCTGTGAGTGTGAATGCCTTAGGCCTGAACTAATAAGAGACCCTGTGAGATGTGACGACAGGAAGATGTGGCTCCCTTTGTGGGCAACACAGTTTGAAAAAGACATTCTGGTTTTGGAGAGAGTGAAATGTGGGCGTGCATGTGTCACCTTCCCACCTGGTGGTATATATATGTGTGTGTGTGTGTGAGTACCTTTCAGGTTTTATCCATTTCACGAAATGTGTTGTGATTCATGTGACCCGGTTAACTGGGTAGGAAGATAAGTTTATTGTTTTTAAATATAATTGTCAATCACGATAGAAGGAGTTCAATAAACATAGGAACCGTTAAAAAGTAAAACATCGTCATATACGTCTTGGGTGTTATGCAGTGAGCCATTATAAATAATATAACCCCTCCCCACATGATTACCCTCTGGTGGGAGAAGTGACCACAGGCAACCCCCCACCTCCTCAATCATTAAAAGTCACTCTGTTCCTCCTCCTCCCTCAATCCTCACCTCCCATTCTCTCTCCCTCCACCCTTAACCTTCCCACATCTCAAGAGTACAAAAGAACAGAAAGATTAAGAATAAGAAAAAAGAATTAGAGAATAAAGAAAGAAAAATAAAAATAATAAAAAGTAAAATAAAAATATTGTTACAGTGTTGGTGGTGGGTGATGGTGAATGTTAGTGGTGATGGTGAGTGCTGGTGGTGAGTGCTGGTGGTAATGGTGTGTTGGTGGTGAGTGATGGTGGTAATGATGTGTTGGTGGTGATGGTGAATATTGTTGGTGGTGAGTGTTGGTGGTGATGATGAGTGTTGGTGGTGATGGTAAATGTTGGTGGTGGTGGTGAATGTTGGTGGTGGTGAATGTTGGTAGTGGTGGTGAGTTTTGGTGATGGCAGTGATGAATGTTGGTAGTGGTGGTGAGTGTTGGTGGTGAAAAGTGTACTGTAAACCATAAGTGTAATACGCTATGTGTACAAATAAGTATTATACACAATACAAAGTACTTGTACATTGTTGTACAGTACCTATGCCTGTACAGTCACTCAAAAAAGTATCTATACAAAATTATTTTGAAAAAATATGACACTGGAAGAAGGATTTTTTAAACCCTACTAAGACAACAGAAATT